ACGCTCTTCAAATGGATGCCAGAGTGACCTGGAGGGGTTATTTATGACAGGAGTCCAACCTTAAATATCTGCAGGCAAATAACTATTATTCTTGGCTGCCTAGGTGCCTTGGGGTTGTCATGGTCTGAGTTAAATCACTGCCAGTTTCTGGGGTACTCTCCTCAGAGGAGCTCAGCAGAGGGTTTCAAAGCAGAGAATTGTCTGCTGGTGAGGCAGTTCACAGCATCACTCTGAAAACAAATTGGCATGCTTGCACCTGGCTCAGTTTGGGTACCACATTATGACTTGACTGATCTAGTTCCAATGTGTTATGATATTGCACATATCCCATTTTTCAAGGACAAACTGAATTACAATGTAAAACTGCCCGTTTGATGTGCTGTAATTCCACATTGCAGACTACAGTAGCACTGCTTAAGGCAGTGGTGAAAGCCAGCGCGCTCAAAATAGTTTCCTTAAATTGTCGGGTCTGATGCTAGTGCCAGGTCAAGGGACCCTTTAGCAGAAAGCTGAAAGTGAGCCAATTGTGGAGGGAACTGTTGTGGAAAAGAGGGAGCTTTGTTTTATTCCTTTAGTTCATGCTCTGTCTGGGTCTTGAAGACCAGATTCCTACTGCATGTTAGATAGCTGTACAGAGTTGCTGTTTTTCTGAAATCCAGTCTTGAAAATGGCTAGTAGCCATTTCAATCTCTTTACAGACCTCTGCTGGTTCATCATGATAGCTAGTGCAAATGAGTCACTTTATTGATGATATGCTTATCTTTATTCTGTAGAGAACCTCAGTACCTTGTAACAAGAAGATATTCTTGATATCTTAGTGTTCCTGTCAACAGTTTCACTGGCTGCACAGATTGTATCAGCAGAGTGAAAAATCTTAAGCTTTCAACTTAAGTCTTGCTTTAGCTGATAAACATTAAATCACATCTCTGTAGCTGAGGGCAGTGCATAGCCTCATGTATCCAGGGAACATGTCCAGAGTCATGTCCTGGCAGTAGCTGAAGCAAGAGCTGTCACGTGCACTGTTACATCTACAAAGTCCTGAGTCTGACTGAGATTAACAGTTGCCAAAACATGATTTTTGTCTCAGGAGCCACAGGTCTGCCATGCACTCGCTCAGCATTAGGTAACGTGAGAGGGACTTCAGTTTTTAATATCGCCACTTTTCCTCACAGGAGCTGACCCTTCTCTGCTTGAAAGCCTCAGCAGCCAGGCCAGGAGAGCTGCCGAGACAAGTCGTGCCCCTGCAGATTCTAGCTGCCACTCACCACTGTTTTTGTGCAGGTTTTCCTGGACCGCCTGCTACTTGCTGCAGCGACAGTAGCTGAGCTGGGCTTGTCTCTCACGTTGGTTTGTTTGTATTTGCAGAGATACAAGGCAGCGAGGCATCGTGCCACAGCTGCCTACCCCGAGGCTCCTTTGCATTCCCAGGGCTCCAGCTCCCAATTGCTGGATGATCTGAAACAGCCTCCTGCTGCAACAGCAGACACCAGCAAGAAGATGAATGATGATCATGGGATAGACAAGGAGGGTACAGAGCTGTCAGCCCTGCAAGAACAAGCTTTGAGGTCTCCGGAGGGTAAGGGTGAGCTGGCCACCTCTGTAGCAGAGGGCAAAAGCCTAGCCAGCGTGACTGACGACGTCTGTGGAATCATGGTTGTAGAAGAAGAAAATCTACAGGAAGCGAGCAAGTCCACTACCGCTAGTGCCGATTGCCCACTCCCTGAAGAGAACCGCACCGTGGGGGAGTTGCTGGGACACGCCGTGTCTGAGGAGGAGGAGGAAGCCAGTGCAGCCAGGCACAGGGAAGGCACAGACGACTGCCAGGATCTGGGGAATGGAGGGGGTTTAGAACAGAACGAGGCAGCGCTAACAGGCCAGGAGGCAGCGGCAGAGCCTTCCTCCCTAGCCAAAGGTGAGGCAGCCAGTCTTACCTCTGCTGGGTGCAGACGCTCTACTAGGCGCAAACCCAGATAGAGTGGCCTTAAAGGGAGAGCCCTTTACATATGATATTTGCTGAAAATGTTTATTTTCGGAGTCTTTTAATAGAGCAAAAACCTTCAACTTTACTGCTGTTTTTATTTTAAGAATAAAATAAGCCTGGCTTTAGCGTGTCTAATACGGGATGGTGTTGGTTATTACTTGTACAGTTGGGATACAGCAATTATGTGGAAAGACTGAGGCTTGGATTGTTGAACTTGAAAGAAGACGGTAATGTGATTTCCATAGGGGACAACATTCATGAAGTAGATGGATGCAGACTTATTTTTCACTAAGAATTCCTTGTAGTTCCTCCTTGTTTCCTTTTCAAGCAGAGGAAAAGTTTATCTCTTGGGAGACTCGGTGCCCAATTCTGCTCCTTGGAACAGTTTCCTTCCAAAGGTGCACGCTCTTGGACAAGCACTGTGTCCCAAGCTAGGCAAGAATGTGCATCTTGGTCCTCTATGAATACTACGAGGCTTAATACAGTCTGTTCTCATAGTGGAGACTCTCAGGAACAAACTTTGTTTCAAACTGATTTTAATAAAACAGATTTCTTATAAATAACTTCTTTAACTTTCCAAAAAACTCCTTTAATTCCACAGAAGTAGAACAGTAAGACTTGCTTCACAGCGCTGGCCCCAGGCCATCCTGACAAGATCACAGACTTTCAGACCAGAATGCTCATGCTTACTCTTGTCAAAACGTACAGGGAGGACTCTGCTCACAGCCCGCGCAGGCAGGCCCCTGTCTCTTTGCTCTGGATAGCTAATGCTGTGCTGGGGGCTAACCAGCCTGCTCTGCCTCTCTCTAAAGCCCGAGTCCTTAATGGCAGCTTAAGGAGTTAGGCAGCTTCCAATTATAACAGTCAAAAACATCACCCTGGTAGCTTGTCTTGGAAGGGGACAGAAGAGTCCAGTGATCTGGGACCCTCTGCCAGCATTCCTCCCATCACAGTTAATGTGAATAACGGGGAAGCTGTAGTTTCAAGGCAGGAGCTGGCCTAGGGCCCCCCCTCAAAGTCTGTCACCGGAGTTACACTTCGGGGCGAGCCTGGACTCGGGACAGCCCCTGCCTACTGTGCTTTTTGAGGGAAGAGCCGGAGCTGTAACACTCCTTGCTTGGATTTAACAGTGCAAAAGAGCAGAGATCATCTTTCCTCTTTGAGAATAGGGCCTGCTTGCAAACGACCTGCATGGCATCAGGTTTCCTACAACCAGCTTTAACCAAGTGTCAGTGCCAGGCTCGTGTTGGGGAGCCAAAAGAACCAACTCTCCTACATCCCCCTGTGTGCTTCTGCACCTACCACACAGCTAAAGAAAAACAGAACATGGAGGCGAACGGCAGGACACAACCACAGGAAGGAACAAGTAGCAGGCACAAGGTACCCCTTCTATTCAAGTTTTACGTTAAATTGGTGACCAGTAAATGTCCCCTTAGCAATACCAACGGAGAGTTTGTGGCCAGCACGCTAGACGGGAGGCTGTGATCCCTGCGCATCAGCTTCCATGTTCTGCTGCTCACTCTGCTGCTGGAACTCCAGGCGGGTCTGGCGGTTGGACTCCAGCAGTTCTTTCAAGCAGGCGTGTAGATAATCATTCTTCTCCTCCAGGTGATCCAAGCAGGAGTTGATCTGGTCCAGCATGGAGTTTATTGCTGCGTATTCTAAAAGGAAGGGAAAGGAGAGACTGAACAATGTAAGTATATTGTCACTGCAGTCAGTGCAGGCAGCGAGAGCTGCTGCAAAACACGCCCACAGCATTTTGGCTGTGCCTTATCTGCTGCTGGGTGCGTGAAGTAAAATGCAACTGAATCCTGCATGTGTTGTGTTCACCGATCAAACGAGACCAACGGGAAGCTGGAGGACTGGTAACAAGCTCTAAGGCGAGTTCCCTGGGCAGTCCAAACCCGTTCCGCGCCTCTCTGACAGCCTCTGATCTCACACATCAATAGCTGACCACAGGCTGAGCGCTAGTGCGCAGCGATCCGCGTCGCAACAGCGCCAAACAAACCCCAAGGACAGGTTAGCCTTTTTAGCTGCCTTGGGGATCATCTTTCCTGATGAGGGCGCAGGCATCCTGGCAGCGTGCCGAAGTGTTTGCTACGTTCTCCGAGTTATTTGTGCAAGGCTCCCAGGCTGGGATGTCCTTCACGAGGGCCCGGCTGGAGTCAGACTTCCAAAACATTGCCGTGGCAGGAGCAGGGACGAGCCCAAAGGTGCTGGTAGTGGCACTGTTATTTCCAAAGCGAGGTAAGTGTGGGGCACCGAGGTCAACCGGAGGATTTTCATGCACCGTTAAGGCTTGGGGCACTTCAGATTAAAACCAAACTCGTTGGGGATGATCCTGAAAGTTGGTTCCCTAGGTACAATTTCTTATTCACAGCATTTGTTTCAAGTGCAGAAGCGTTGGCCTCGGTACAACGGCATTTCACAGTGATGCGTCTTAGCACTGTTAAGCAGATGAAGATAGCTGTGCTAGCGTGATGAAACACTTGCTTTTGGATTGCTCCGAGCAATATTCACGCAATCCTAAAGAATTAACAAAAAAACAACCCTGAAAAACCAGACAAGAGAAACCTCTGCTGACAAGTTACTCAGGAACTGGAAGCCTGGCAGCTGAAACCCCGGGGGTTACAGGAGGCCCCAGGCGGAGCCAGTCCCGCATTCCTTTCTGAAGCTGCATGGGCTGAGCGAGCGCAGGGAGGCAGGCATCGAGCTGCGACCCGCGGGCTGACGTTTTTTTGAGGATCGTGGGCTGCAGGACCGGGAAGGATGCCTGCGTGGGTGGGACAAGCCCACACCTCGCCGGCTGCGGCTGGCTCCTCTCCACCCGGCTCCTCTGAGCAGCTGGCGGAGCGTCGGAGCCAAGCGTGACACACGCAGCGCCTGGCTGGAACGCCGCTCTGAGCTAACGGAGAATAGAGAGAAAGCGAGGAGGATGAGGATGTGCTCTGGGCACCGGTGTCCTAGGGATGAGGGTCGAGCCGTGCCGAAATCCCCCAGCCTCACAAGCCCAGCTTTGCCCCTCTCGGCTGCTCCCTTGGCACTTTTGTGGGCAGGGTGCTCAGAGCCCCCAGCACACCAGGCCCAGGCAGCTTTAAAAGAACTGTGAATATTTAAATATTGCAGTCATTTGCATTCTTAATCGCTAAGGAGAAGCTTCATTACAAAAAAAATAGTCGTCTTATACTGCTTTGAAGCCATTCACAGCAGCGTTGCAGCCTTTAATTCTTTGGAGAATTGCATATGTTGCATTTAAGGTTCTTTATAAAAGTTTGGCCTCGCGGGTATATGCAGGGGTGGCATTATGAGCAAGAGCATTGCTTGATTTAAAAATCAGTCCCACAGACATTCTTTCCAAAAAGGCGGCAGTTACCAGTATTTTGCAAACCCTGTTTCAAGGTTAGGTGATACCCGAGTGTCCATGGGTTCGAGCTCTTTACTTCAACCTAGTATTTGGTGCATCCCATTCCAATTAAACGGTGAGCAGATCCCAAGCAGATACAGTAACTACTTCTGACAAGTAACGTTATTCATCAGCTTGGCAAGAAGTCTGTAATCACAGCAGGGGCCTAATTGTTCTCGGTGCCTAGAGCTCAAGGGAAGGCTATATAAGTTGTGCAGCTTTGGGAAGTGAAAAAAAAAATTAACAATTTTAAACTAATCTGTAAAAGCATTTTATTTGATTGTCTTTTGTTAGTTGCAAGCTTGGTGTATTTTTGTGGAATCGAACCACATCCCCTAATGAAAATGTTGACCAGGAGTACGGCAATCGCGTTGTTTACTGCTCTGCATTCTTACGAGAACAGTTGCCAAAAAGAAGGTTTCCTATTTGAGATGAAGGAAGCGATCCCCAGCTTCAGCTCCCCGAGACCAGGGAATGGCTACGGGCCTTTGTGACCAGCTACTGCACGCAAAGCCCCAGCTAATCACAGGCGGAACAACTTAACGCAGAGGCTGGCTGTAGGTCAGAGGTGGTGACTTTCTCCGTCACATCCAGTGTGTCTCTTAGCTCTTCAAAAAGTTTGAAACACAAATCGCTGGGACGATGCAAAGCAGCGAGCACTCTTGGGGTGTTTCGGGGTGGAAATGATCCTCCTGTCACTGCAGGTGGGTCACAGCCACAGCTACGAGATTCACCTGCGCGGGTCGCATCCGGAAACTGAGCGGTGTTTTGGGAAACAGCGTAACCCAACTCCTCACCGTTTTCAAGAGAAAAGTAGCAAAGTGCTTACTCCTTGAAAGGTTTCTAATTTTAAGAACGACCCGTACGTACACAACAGCTCTGCCGTTGTCTCATTTACTCCATCGGCTTTTTCTAACCGGCTCGGACAGTATCAGAAATTTCACACCTAGGCACTGTAAAAATGCCCAGAAGTGGAATATGCCAGGCTGATTGTCCTAAATTCACTTTTTCCACCCACAGCTACTTCTCCCAGATCTGCCCGCGTGATCTGTCCTAAGGTTTCGAAACCTGAACGTCCTCTTTCTCCTTGGTCATCCGCGCCCCGTACACCAGCAAATGCACAGAAAAATCTTTTCACAAAGAAGAAGAAAGACATAAATAAAAACGCCCCCACGGCAGCAGGCAGGGGCTCAGTGCCCCACCGCAGGGCGGGAACCCTCCCAGCCCCGCTTGGTTTCAAGACCCTCCGGCCCCGCAGCCCCTCACCTCCCGCGTCGGGCACCGCTCCCGGCGGAAGCAGGGAAACAC